TATTGTGTTTCGTGGCAGTGTATATATCGTGGGAGTGTATTTCAGACATTGAATTTTTGGCAGTGTATATATTATGGCAGTGTATTTCTGACATTGAATTTTTGGAAGTACATATTGTGGCGTGTGTAGATAGTATATATTGCAGTGTATAATTACCATAAAAAATAAAAGGTCACGGCTTAAAACGAATTCTGCTCTTTTTTTGGCAGTGTTGTACTCCCTCTGTCCACCATAGATCTTCCCAATAGCCATTTTTCTTTGTCCACAATAGATCTTCTCATTTCATTTTTTAACAAGTAAAATACCACAACTACCCCCACTTACTTTATTTATTACACCTCACCCACCTCATTTAATACACTCCACCCATTTTTCATTAAGGGTATTATGGTAAACTTTCACCTTTTTTCAACTCTCCTTAAAAACCACCAAAAGTCAAAATGAGAACATCTTAGGCGGACGGAGGGAGTATGTGTTAAGGCACTAAATTCAATCTCAAACATATTGTGGCAGTGAAGAGCAAGACATTTCATACTTATTTATAATCTGTCAGTGAAGAGTATACATTGCAATATAATTCTAGATTTAGGAGTTTATTTAATGACAAAAACGGAAATTCATCACAAAAACTAATAGCACTACTATTTTGAGTATTATAAGGCTATTAAAGTGTTATTTTCGTATTTCTCCCTTTGGAAAAGTAAATAAGATATATACAGAAATGAAAGTATAATATATCTGAACTCAACACTGCTGCTACCAGTCAATCAGGACAACATCGATCAAAACTCAACACTATGTTGAAGATCCTTGGCAAAAACCATGATTCTCAAGTTAACAGCTTACCAAGTACACATTTAATTTCAAAAAAAAAAAAACATAGCAAAAACAAAACAAGAAAAAATGGCATGTACATGAAAAGATAACAAGCTCTAGACTCAAAATGGCAAATATGTACAAGAAGACAACATACATTCCACACTGCACTCTCCGACCCTGTTTGCACGCTTACATTCGGAAACCTAATTCTGCATTCCTCTTCTCCCTTCTCATTGATCTGTGAAGCAATTTGGACGGCGGAGATGGCAAAAAATCAAACCGTAGCGACGATAAGCACATTTCCCCACTCAGAATCTTCACGATATCCCCGATATCGGGCCTTAGCTCGGGCACTCTCTGTAGGCAAGCCAAGGCCAAGCTGACACACAGCCTGGCCTCATCCTTGTTGTACTCGTCTCCCAGTTTCTCATCCACTACTTCAAGAACATTCCCAGAATGAGCCAAGTGCTTGCACCAGCTCACCAAGTTGGCTCTCTCGAGCTTCATCGGTGAGTTGAGAACATGGAGAGGTCGCCTGCCGGAGACGATCACAAGAATGAGGACTCCCAGACTATATATGTCCCCCTTCTCCATTAGGTACCCGGAGCGCCCGTATTCCGGCGCGACGTAACAGAGTGTACCCCGCATGCTCGTGGTGCTGCTCAGGTCCCGGCTGAAGATTTCTCCACTCCACGCATCGCTCCCTCCCCCAACACAATGTGATTCCTTTTTCTTCTTCTTCTTCTTCTTCCAGCCCCTCCTGAAACTGAGTTCCCTCTCTAGATCGCATCTTCTCTCGCTGTTCTGGGCCATGAACGCGAAGTGTTTCCCCAGATCGAAATGTCGGACTTTGAATCTGATGCTTCGTATGCACTTGGTTTTATTAGGATTATTACCATTGGCACTCTTCTTCTTCTTGTTCTTCTTCCGGGAAAGTTCATCAAGGTGTTCCTCCTTCCACCACTCCTTCATCACCCTCGGCTTCTTATTCTGCAACTCCAATAATTCTTTCCCCCCCGGGATGCCCGTCTGGTTCACTTCTTCCACACACCCGACATTCTCTTTACCTTCTTCATCCCAATTGGGATTAGCGGAATGGAAGATTTGGGTGCCTATCCACTCCATCACATAATCTTTGGTGCACAATTCACCACTCACATCCTGTCTCCACCACCAATCTCTACCCTGCAGCATACTATGATCAATAATGCTCTCACCCGACACCGCATTATTACTCAAATCCAACTCCTTACCCTGACCAATGCTGCTGCTTACCTCATCATCATCACCATCACCATCATCATCATTGTTCCAATCCTTCTCAACTGATTTCCCCTTTCTAGTCGTGATCTTGTCATCCGCGTCAAACACAGCATTATAGTTCATAGAGTTCAACCCCGGAGCTCTGAAGTTCTGAGAATTCTTAAAACTATTCGGGTTGGAAGAGGAAGAAGCCTGTAAAGCCATGGCGAAATCCACCTCATCGTCTCGACTCTCTTCCTGGGGAGTAGGAGTCCCTAGATTCCCGGAGAGGTCTTGGGGGCTCCTCGTTCCCCCAATCTCCTGGCTGAACAAATCAGCCCCTACAAAATCAGTCTTCAATCTCGACAGCCCGAAATCCGAAAGCTTGGCCTTGAACTCCAAATCGAGTAACACATTGCTAGGCTTCACATCCCCGTGGACCACGGGCGGGTCGCATTCAAGATGCAAGAAAGACAGCGCCTTTGCAACGTCCAAAACGATCCCAAACCTCCTTCCCCAATCCAACCCCGAATTCGTCTCCGAGAAAAGCAATTCCTGGAGGCTTCGGTTCGGCATATACTCATACACCACAAGCCTCTTCCTCTTCTCCACGCAGTACCCAACAAGCGAAACAACCAGCTCGGATTTGATCCCTCCGAGAATCAGGAGCTCGTTCTGGAAATCCCTCTCGCTCTCCAAAGAAGAAGAATCCAAGAGCTTTACAGCCACAGACTTGCCATCTTTCAAGCTCCCTCTGAACACAGTCCCAGACCCACCCTTCCCAATGGCGTTTCGGGGGCTGAAACCATGGGTTGCTGAACTCAGCTCCCTATAGGAGAATCTCCGGAGCTTAACCAGAGGGTCATTATTGGAATCAAATAATGGGCTGGTGGGGGACCTGCGGAGTACAGAGTACCATAGGTAGTACAAGAAGTAGGCAATTGCGAAGAGGGTGATCAGGGATGATAAGGCGGTGATTGCAATGAAGATTGCAGTGAATTTGATGAGTCTGGGGTATGATGGTACTGTAGCAGACAAAGGTTGTCTTGAAGGCATTCTTGATTCATCTCTCTCTCTCACTGAAGGCATTCTTGATCCATTTCTCAAGACCCTTTCAAACTGGGTGGGACGGTCAATCAGGTACTCCGTATAATTAGAGAAAGGAAGAGAGGTGAGGACTGCCGAGGCATTTGTGGACATTTCTTTTTTGTTTGGTTCGAGATCTTTTGTTAAAGTCCGTATTGTTTTTATTCCTTGAGTCTTGCTTTACAGTTGGATGATAATCATATTGAGCACGGATTCGTAGAGTGACCGGACCGGCCTAACCAGACCATTCTACAATACTCGCATGCTTATCCAACCCCAAATATTTATCCCACAATGCGCGCAGGGCTAAAGGTGTAAAAGGGTAGAAAAAGCGCGTTCCGACAGGCTAAATCCAAAAGCACCAGTCACACAATCATTTGGTTCTCGGTTAATTACTCACGGAGTAAAAAGTAATTGGAAAAAAGACTCTACTAAAATATTGAAAATATACTTCCTCCGTCCTTAAATATTTGTCACACTTGTATTTTTGAAATAAAATATCAAGTTCTATCAGTTCATTTTATTTACATATTGGATAGAAATAAAAAATAAAATTTACATATCAAAAAAACTACATGAAAATAAGAGGTGTCAAGAATATTTTTTTTAATAAATAACCAATAAAAACATAGAAAATAAACAAAAGTTCCCGCGACTGCTGAAAAAGAAAATGTTGTAAATATTTTTGGATGGAGGGAGTACTAAATTAAGACTTCCATTTTTTATTATCGAAATAAGACTTACTCCCTCCGTCCCCCTAAGATCTTCCCGTTTTGACTTTTTGCGGTTTTTAGGAGAGTTGAAAAAAGGTGAAAGTTTACAATAATACCCTTAATGAAAATGGGTGGAGTGTATTAAATGAGGTAGGTGAGATGTAATAAATAAAGTAAGTGAGGGTAGTTGTGGTATTTTAAAATGTTAAAAAAGGTAATGAGAAGATCTATGGTGGACAAATAAAAAGGGCTAATGAGAATATCTATGGGGGACGGAGGGAGTACATTACAAAACATGGTCACGTACATTATCAAAAAAATATGATAATGTGCACATGTATAATTATATAGTGTCACATTAAAGTCCTATTTTGGTACTTTTCTTTATATTTTAGTCCTATTTAGGTTGATTTCTAAGTAATTTAGTCTTTCGTCCCAGAAAAATATACTCTTTTCATTCCACAATGTTTGCCACATTTGTAGCAAAATATTTTTCAATTAATTTTATTTAAAGATCAATATTTAAATAAAAAATAAAACTTACATTTTTAAAAAGTACATCAAAAGTTTTATAAAACAAAAGGTGACAAAAATATTTTATTTAATCAAATAGTTGATGAAATCACAAAAATAAACAAAAGTTTCTGCAATTTGTTAATAGTAAAATGTGTAAACCATTTAGAGATGTGGGGAATTTTTTTTATTTCTATATCAATATTTAAATAAAATGAATTGAAAAAAACTTAATACTTTGTCTCAATTTTTGAAATGTGGTAAACATTTAGGGACAAAGGGAGAAAGAGCTTTTTCACCAGTTATTGACTTATTATTGATAAATAATTCTTAATCTTTTAAATTATTTATAAATTATTTTTTTTGTGTAGATAACATAATTTAGATGATATATAATTCATTTGAGAATATTCATAATAGATTAGTGATAGTTTTGTAAATAATCTAGTAAAAAAAGATAAAAGATTTGGCTTAAAAAAGTACTACCTACTTATTTTTCTACTTTATAAGAAACTTATATGTATTAAGAAACATGTCATCAACTGACTTATAACTTAAAAGTATCTTATAAATAGTTTTGACCAATTTATATGTAACGCCCCAAAACATACCCTAGAATTATCAATGAATAATTATTCAATTAATCAAATTTGTTTTGATTAAAATAAATTATTGTTGGGCTTTGTGCCGATACGAAATGTGTTTTGACATCCAATATCAAAATCTGAATAAGTCTCATAGAGATAAATCCAATATGTGGACTATTTGTTGTCTTGATTGAGAACCTGAGTACAGACCCAAATCAAGAATAAATGAAGAAATTAATTATAATGTGAACATTAAAATGATTTATTGAAATAAATCATGAGAATAATTAATATGAATTAATTATGAGAACCTTTTTGAATAAAAGTCAATTGAATCAATTTTGACTCTGTCAAAGTCAAACACCCAAAAATATGATGTCGGAAAAAGTATTACAAATAAATATAAAAATTATATCGTTGGATAGAATTCGTTTGTCTGATCGCAACGGTGCAATCGGAATTCAATTCGGAGAAAGTTGGACCAAAAAGTGTATCCCAACTGAAACCAAAATAGGTCCCAATCAGGGAATGGCGTGTAAATCCCAGGGAGTTGATTCTTCCGCCGATTAGAGATCGCCTAAGTGACTTCCTGACTCAGCACTTGTATCTTCTTCCTCTTCCTTCCTCTATTTAAGAAATCCCAACTCCCTCAATTCTCCACTAAATCATTCCAAATTTCTTTCTATTCTGCTGCCCTGAGAGAGAAGAACACACTGATGCTTTCAATTTTGTGAGAGATCGCCGGAGTTGAGAGCTATTCCTGCTGGAAGTTTCGCCGGAAAATATTCAAAATCTCCATTAAGCTTTGAGGTAAGCCCGTAGATATATCTAGTGACTAGAATGTTCGTATACATCGTTTCTACGTTCATAAACGGTCGTTTGGTTGAGTTTTGTGTTTGACATGCTTGAAGAACCAAGAATCATAAACCTTGAAATTGTTGTTAAAACTTCGAATTAATGGTATTTAAATGATCTATGAACACTGGAGAACATTTCTATATAATTTAATTGAAGTTTGGTGATTAAAAATGAAAATGCTCAAAACTGACCAGAGGAAGAATATGATGAACAGTAGTCGAAAATCGATTATTTCCTTCCTACGAATCGATTAGAACCGTGTTCAGAAGAGGAATTCGAAGTCAGTATATTTAAAAATAATAATAATCGATTATTTTAATCATAAAAACCGATTTAAAGTTATTAATCGATTATTTTAATTATAAAAATCGATTTTTGAGTATTAATTGATTATTTTAAATATAAAAATTGATTTTTAGCAATTAATTGATTATTTAAAATATAAAAATCGATTCTTAGCAATTAATTGATTATTTAAAATATAAAAATCGATTTTTAGATATTAATGGATTATTTTAAATACAAAAATCGATTTTTAGGTATTAATTGATTATTTTAAAAATAAAAATCGATTTTTCTCAAGTTCAGATCTTGTTCCGAAAATATTCTGAAAATATATGCTCTAAAATCCACTAATTGATTATGATCATTGTAAAAATGATTTACCATAATTAAAATGATGTTTTTAACAAATAAAAATGTTATGTGATGCATGACGGTAAGTTAGGGTGTTAACACCCAAAGCTAGGCCGCTAATTGTTATTGAATATTATGTTGATTGGTGATTATGGTAATGATTATTGATTGATAATTATGATGATTAAATCTTGATAAACGTTCTGATTAAAAATAGATATTATGAATGATTAAATCATAATGAATATATTGATGATTGTGAAAACAATATGTATTGTTAAGGGTATCTAGAAGACCTCTAAGATATATACCCATATTAATGTTGATTTGAAAGGTATCTAGAAGAACTCTAAAATATACCTATATAAGTTAGGCCTTGCGGGTATGATGCCCGGTGGCTAGGGTTAAAACGTACGTACGGGATCCAAGAACCAAACTTGAGTACCTACTCGTTTGGGGGTACCACCCAACCCAGCAGTGAACACTACGCTGTCGGTTTTTGGTTGACCTTAAGCGAAGGTAAGTTTAAGATTTGAAAACTCTTTTTAAAATTATATCTTAAACTAGGCCTAGCTTAAGCGTTAGAATATCTTGAACTAGAATTAGTTTAAGAATGGAATTGGCCTTACATTAAAATAGTTTAAGGATATTGTTGAATATGAATATTGAATGTTGAATATGAATATTGAATGATGAATGTTGAATATTGATTATTGAATATTTGAAATGAACACTTTGTGCATGATATCAAATGATTTGATTATGAATTTGGATTCAATTTATATGGATGTTCGACACATTAGATATGCTTACTCAGCTTTACCGCTGAGCGTGTAGTATGTTTTATTTGCTACACGCAGGTTATTAGAAAGAATGAAGTGACGTGGTCCTGGAGGCAGACGGAGGCGAGATTGTCGGAATGGATGTGATGGTTTTAAAGAACATAAATAAATTTATGTTTGTATTATGATTTGTTAAGCTTCCGCAATATTAAAATTTCATACTGTTTATGATATGAAAAATATTATTGTGATAAATAAAAGTGTTTGAAATGTTTTAAATTTTACGATTACCAAGTTAATACTTTAGTCCGAAAGGGGCTGTAGACCTAGACGGATTAGGGTGTTACATTATAAGCATAGAGATATATTGAAAATTTGAGATGTGTGCGCTTTCGCCCCAATTCTGCATTAGTATGATATAGTCTGCTTTGCGCCATGCCCTCACGAATTTTTTTTTCGACACCTTCCAAAATTCCTCATACAGATGGATTTGGGTAACCATATAAATATCAATTCCTTTTCTCTTTTCTATATGGTGTGGGATTGGTTTGATACGCGACAAACCTCCCCACAAACCAAGACCACACAATACATTGACCTCCCCTCGAGCGATTAACTGTTCTTAATTTGCCACCATCTTGCAACAACCTGCGGGACACACCGCCAGACCACTTGTCTCTCTCAAAAATACTTTTGGCACAAGGTATAATTTTGGAGGGTTATTGATGTATTTCAGTGCTGATGAGGGGTTTGAGTGATTCTGGGGGGGGGGGTTATCTATATGAGTCATATGAGTCAAATCAGGGGTAGAGGATTTGGAAGTAGTATTTGTGTGTGTGTGTGTGTGTGTATGGGATTGACTCCAGTGAGATGACACCTTATGGTGAGATGACATGCTTCAGTCAGATGACGCAAAGCTCACCATTAGCCACTACAAAGCTCACCAAAGATAACTACAAAGCTCACTAAACTGTAAGGCAAAGCTCACCATATTTTTTCAACACTTTAAATTTTTTTTGAAAAAATAAAATCAAAGGAAGAGTGCTGACTAGACTTTGACCGTTGAC